CAGTCGTCGTGCTGCTGGTCGCAGTCGTGGTGCTGGTCGTTGTCGTGGTGGAGCTGGTCGTAGTGGTGGTGGTGCTGCTGGTGGCAGTCGTGGTAGTGCTGGTTGTGCTGGTGGTGCTGGTCGTGGTAGTGCTGCTGGTCGCTGTCTCGGTGCTGCTGCTCCCGGTTGCAGTCGTGGTGTTGCTGGTCGCTGTCGTGGTGCTGCTGGTCGTGGTCGTGGTCGTGGTGGTGCTTCGGGTCGCTGTCGTGGTGGTGGTGCTGCTGGTCGCAGTCGTGGTGGTGCTGCTGCTGGTCGCAGTCGTGGTGCTGCTGGTCGCAGTCGTGGTGCTGCTGGTCGCAGTGGTGGCGCTGTTGGTCGCCGTCGTGGTGGTGCTGGTGGTGCTACTGGTCGTGGTGGTGGTGCTGCTGGTCGTTGTGGTGCTGCTGCTGGTTGCAGTCGTGGTGGTGCTGGTCGTAGTCGTGGTGGTGCTGCTGGTCGCAGTCGCGGTGGTGCTGCTTGTGCTGGTGGTGCTGGTGGTGCTGCTGGTCGTGGTGGTGGTGGTGCTGCTGGTCGCAGTCGTGGTGCTCCTGGTCGTGGTCGTGGTGGTGCTGCGGGTCGCTCTCGTGGTGGTGGTGTTGGTGGTGGTTCTGCTGCGGGTCGCAGTCGAAGCGATGGTGCTGCTGGTCGCCGTTGTGGTGGTGGTGGTTCTGCTGACCTCCTCGTGGTGCCCGCTGCCGTGTCGGGGGTGCTCCCGGCGCTCGTCGGAGCCCCCCGGGGCGGCCGTGCTGGCCGCGGCGCCAAGCATCAGGGGCGCGCTGGCAGGCGGCTAGCGGGTGGGCCGGCGGAGTCTGCGAGCAGCACTTCGGCCAGGTCTGGGTCGTCCTCCCCGGCGGCTCCCCCCAAGGCTAGGTAGCCGTCGCCCGTCAGGGTGGCCATGAGCGAGTCCTGGGCCGCGACGCTCAGGAACCCCCTCCAGCGGTTGGTGTACGCGAGCTCCGCGGAGCGGCGGAGGAGGGCCGGCGCGGCCCGCGCCTTCTGCTTGGCAAGCAGGCGTACCAGCTGGAGGGAATCGCGGCCCCACCTGCCTCCGACCTCGCAGGAGAGGACCAAGAGGCGGCCTGAATGGCCGGTCGTGAGTTCGTGGTACCTGCGTCGTTTGCGCCTTTCGGCCCCAAGTAGCGCGGCGCCGTCGGTGTCGAAGGTGCGCGGCCGGTGCCAGCCGTCCCTGCGGAGGGGGGACACCATGGTGCTGTCGCAGCACAGCGGGACGCCGTTCGGCGAGATGCCGTAGACGACTAGGTCTAATTGTCTGCGGTCCAGCGGGTTGTGGACAACGGCGTTAGTGTCCCGCAGCAGCTGTTGGGGGACAAGTCTCCCTCCTGCTTCTCTGGCGACCCTCGCCCAAGCTCGTTCGAGCGGTTTCGCGCGTCTGGCGAGAAGCCCCGTGCGTGGGCACGCGGCTAGGTGGTCTCCCAGCGTGTCCAGCCGGGCCCGGCAGCCTGGGTGGCCGGCTGCCCCGCAGGTGTGCGGGAGGAGCGGCAGCTACAACTCTGGGGTCAGCCCTGGGATCAGAGCGTGTACGAACGGCGAGCAGTGGCAGCACCACCACGACTGCGACAAGCAGCACCACCACCACGACTGCGACCCGCAGCACCACCACGACCACGACCACGACCAGCAGCACCACGTCTGCGACCAGCAGCACCACCGCCACTACGACCAGCACCACCACGACTGCGACCAGCAGCAGCACCACAGAGACCAGCAGCACCACCACGACCAGCAGCACCACCAGCACCAACACGACGGCGACCAGCAGCCCCACGACTGGGACCAACAGCGCCACGACTGCGACCAGCAGCACCACGACTGCGACCAGCAGCAGCACCACCACGACAACGACCAGCAGTACCACCACCACGACCGCGACCCGCAGCACCACCACGACCACGACCAGCAGCACCACGACTGCGACCAGCAGCGCCACGACCGCAACCAGGAGCAGCAGCACCGAGACAGCGACCAGCAGCACCACCACGACGAGCACCACCAGCACAACCAGCAATACCACGACCGCGGCCAGCAGCACCACCACGACTACAACCAGCACCACCACGACCGCGACCAGCAGCCGCACCACAACGACCAGCAGCAACACCACCTCGACCGCGACCAGCAGCACCACCACGACTACTACCAGCAGCACTACGACTGCCACCAGCAACACCACGACCACGACCAGCAGCAGCACGACCACGACTGCCACCAGCAGCTCCACCACCATGGCCAACACCAGCACCAGCACCACCACTACTACGACTAGCACCACCACGACAAGCAGCACCACCACAACCGCGACCAGCAGCGCCAACACGACTGCGACCAGCAGCCCCACGACTGCGACCTGCAGCGCCACGACTGCGACCAGCCGCAGAACCACTACCAGCACCACCACCACGACTGCAACCCGCAGCACCACCACGACTGCGACCAGCAGCACCAAAACTGCGACCAGCAACACCACGACTGCGACCAGCAGCAGCACCACCACGACTGCGACCAGCAGCAGCAGCAGCACCACCACCAAGACCAGCACCACCAGCACAACCAGCACCACCACGACTGCGACCACCAACGCCACCACGACTACGACTCGCAGCACCACGACCGCGACCAGCAGCAGCACTATCATGACCGCAACCAGCAGCAGCACCACCAACACGACCACGACCAGCAGCAGCACCACCACGACTGCGACCAGCACCAATTCCGACCGGCAACACGACCCCCAGCAACGACGGGCACCACCTGCAACGACCAGCAGCAACGACGCGCACCTGCACGACGGCGCGCACCGACGACGCCCACCGCCCCTTCCCCTCGCCTTTCCTTCGGCCTCTGTCCCCTCGTCTCGGTCCCGTCTCGTTCGCCCCCTTCCCCCGCGTCGTTCGCCCTTCGCCGTTCGGGCCCGGCTCGTGCCCCTCGCCCCCTCGTCCTCCGTCCCCCGCCCGCCCCACCCCCGCCTGGAGTCCAGACCCAGCCGCGCCTGCGAGACAAGGGAGCAGTGGCAGCAGGTTGTGGCGCTGCTGATTCCCAAACTGGGGCCCAACGTCATCAGTTGCATCGATGGGGCCAGCGCACGTGCGAAAAATGGGCAGCGGCAGTGGCAGCGAGCCAGGAAGGAGAGCGAGGCGGCAGAGGAGGAAATAGAAGAGGAGGAGAAGGCAGCGGACGAGCAGGACCAGGTCGAGGAGGAGGAGGAGGCGAAGATAACCGCGCTCGACGTCAGCAGGCAGTGGCAGCGAGCCAGGGAGTCAGGACGTGGAGGAGGAGGAAGACGGGAGGTGATGGCGGAGCCAAGCGTCATCAGCTACAGCTCTGGGATCAGCGCACGCGCGAGAGGCGAGCAGTGGCAGCGGGCTCTCTCACTGCCCAGCGAGATGTGGGAGGCGAAGGTGGAGCCAAGTGACATCAGCTATAGCTTTGGGATCAGCACCTGCGCGAAAGACGAGCAGTGGCAGCGGGCCCTACTACTGCTCAGCGGGATGTGGGAAGTGAGGTTGGAGCCGAATGACATCAGATACAGCTCTGGGATCAGCGCGTAAGCGAACGGCGAGCAGTGGCAGCAGGCTCTCCCACTGCTCAGCGAGATGTGGGACGCGAAGGTGGAGCCAAGCGTCATCAGCTACAGCTCTGGGATCAGCGCGTGCGCGAAAGGCGAGCAGTGGCAGCGGGCTCTATCGCTGCTCTGCGAGACGTGGGAAGTGAGGTTGGAGCCAGATGCCATCAATTACAACTCTGGGATCAGCCCTGGGATCAGCGCGTGTACGAACGGCGAGCAGTGGCAGCGGGCTCAATCGCTGCTCTGCGAGATTTGGGAGGCGAAAGTGGAGCCAAGCGTCATCAGCTACAGCTCTGGGATCAGCGCGTGCACGACAGGCGAGCAGTGGCAGCGGGCTCTATCGCTGCTCTGCGAGATTTGGGAAGTGAGGTTAGAGCCAGATGCCATCAGCTACAACTCTGGGATCAGCGCGTGCGCGAACGGCGAGCAGTGGCAGCAGGCTCTCCCACTGCTCAGCGAGATGTGGGAGGCGAAGGTGGAGCCAAGTGTCATCAGCTACAGTTCTGGGATCAGCGCATGCGCGAGAGGCGAGCAGTGGCAGCGGGCTCTCTCACTGCCCAGCGAGATGGGGGAGGCGAAGGTGGAGCCAGATGCCAACAGCTATAGCTCTGGGATCAGCGCGTGCGCGAAAGAAGAGCAGCGGCAGCGGGCTCTATCACTGCTCAGCGGGATGCGGGAAGTGAGATCGGAGCCGAATGTCATCAGCTACAGCTCTGGGATCAGCGCGTGCGCGAAAGGCGAGCAGTGGCAGCGGGCTCTATCGCTGTTCTGCGAGATGTGGGAAGTGAGGTCGGAGCCAGATGCCATCAGCTACAACTCTGGGATCAGCCCTGGGATCAGAGCGTGTACGAACGGCGAGCAGTGGCAGCAGGCTCTCCCGCTGCTCAGCGAGATGCGGGAGGCGAAGGTGGAGCCAAGCGTCATCAGCTACAGCTCTGGGATCAGCGCATGCACGAAAGGCGAGCAGTGGCAGCGGGCTCTATCGCTGCTCTGCGAGATGTGGGAAGTGAGGTCGGAGCCAGATGCCATCAGCTACAACTCTGGGATCAGCGCGTGCGCGAACGGCGAGCAGTGGCAGCAGGCTCTCCCACTGCTCAGCGAGATGCGGGAGCCGAAGGTGGAGCCAAGTGTCATCAGCTACAGCTCTGGGATCAGCGCACGCGCGAGAGGCGAGCAGTGGCAGCGGGCTCTCTCACTGCCCAGCGAGATGTGGGTGGCGAAGGTGGAGCCAGATGCCATCAGCTATAGCTCTGGGATCAGCGCGTGCGCGAAAGAAGAGCAGTGGCAGCGGGCTCTATCACTGCTCAGCGGGATGTGGGAAGTGAGATCGGAGCCGAATGTCATCAGCTACAGCTCTGGGATCAGCGCGTGCACGAAAGGCGAGCAGTGGCAGCGGGCTCTATCGCTGCTCTGCGAGATGTGGGAAGTGAGATCGGAGCCAGATGCCATCAGCTACAACTCTGGGATCAGCCCTGGGATCAGAGCGTGTACGAACGGCGAGCAGTGGCAGCAGGCTCTCCCACTGCTCAGCGAGATGCGGGAGGCGAAGGTGGAGCCAAGCGTCATCAGCTACAGCTCTGGGATCAGAGCGTGTACGAACGGCAAGCAGTGGCAGCAGGCTCTCCCACTGCTCAGCGAGATGTGGGAGGCGAAGGTGGAGCCAGATGCCATCAGCTATAGCCCTGGGATCAGCGCGTGCGCGAACGACGAGCAGTGGCAGCGGGCTCTATCACTGCTCAGCGGGATGTGGGAAGTGAGATCGGAGCCGAATGTCATCAGCTACAGCTCTGGGATCAGCGCGTGCACGAAAGGCGAGCAGTGGCAGCGGGCTCTATCGCTGTTCTGCGAGATGTGGGAAGTGAGGTCGGAGCCAGATGCCATCAGCTACAACTCTGGGATCAGCCCTGGGATCAGAGCGTGTACGAACGGCGAGCAGTGGCAGCAGGCTCTCCCACTGCTCAGCGAGATGCGGGAGGCGAAGGTGGAGCCAAGTGTCATCAGCTACAGCTCCGGGATCAGCGCGTGCACGAACGGCGAGCAGTGGCAGCGGGCTCTCTCGCTGCCCAGCGAGATGTGGGAGGCGAAGGTGGCGCCAAGTGTCATCAGCTACAATGCTGGGATCAGCGCGGGCGAGAAGAGGGGGCAGTGGCAACAGGCATTCGTGCTGCTCAGCGCGATGCTGGACGCGAAGCTGGGACCCGACGTCGTGGGTTACGGCAGGCGGGCAGGGCCGGCGGGCGCTGCGGCCGCGGGCCGCCGGGCTGGGGCAGCTCTGGCGGCCTTCGCGGGCGGCCTTGCCCGGGCACGGAGCGGAGCCGGCCGGGCCAGGGCTTCGAGCGCTCCCGCGGCCTCGAGGCCGAGGCACACAGGGCGGCTCGGCCGGGCGGGCGGCGGGCGGCGGCGGCTGGCGGCGCGAAGACCGCGCGGTGGCCGGCGGGCCCGCCGGGCCGCCTAAGGCGACCGCGGGCGTCGGCAGCCCAGCCAGGGGGCCAGCCGGAGGGAGCCAGGTGCAGCGGCCCCTTTCGCTGCGGACTCGGCCAGGGACTGGGACTGGGACTGGGAGAGGAAAAAAAAAAAAAAAAAAAAAAAAAAAAAAAAAAAAAAAAAAAAAAAAAAAAAAAAAAAAAAAAAAAAAAAAAAAAAAAAAAAAAAAAAAAAAAAAAAAAAAAAAAAAAAAAAAAAAAAAAAAAAAAAAAAAAAAAAAAAAAAAAAAAAAGTGTCACCAGCTACAGCTCGGGGATCAGCGCCTGCACGAAAGGCGAGCAGTGGCAGCGGGCTCTATCGCTGCTCGGCGAGATGCGGGAGGCGAAGGTGGAGCCAGATGCCCTCCGCTATATAGCTCTGGGATCAGCGCGTGCGCGAAAGACGAGCAGCGGC